AATAAATAAAAGAGTTATAAATTGAAGTAAGGACAATGAAGGGAATAAATAAGAAGCTGAAGTAGAGAAAAACTTGGATGGAGTGTGATAAGACTTTTGTGAAGGTGGCTCTAGAAGGCCTCCCTGAGAAAATACACACTATCATGTTTATTGAGTCCAGTGCTATTTTAAGTGCTTTCCATGTATCAACTCTGTTGATCCTCACAATCCTATTAGGGAATGTATTGCTATTATACACAGTTGACAGGTCAGAAAACTGAGGCACAGAGACATTAAATTACTTGCCATATAATTTGTAAGTGACGGAGACTGGATTCAAGTCTACAAAGCCAGGCTCTAGAGCCTGCTCTCTTGATTACTCTGATAGCCATTTCCTAACAAGGCCAAGGAAAGAGCTCGCATGAAGCCTCTGAAGCAGGAAAGCAGTTGATAGTTAAGGCACTGGGAGAAGACCTAGAAGAGGAGCACAGAGATGGTAAGAGTGGCCTGGTTGCATTCAGAGATAGAGACCACCAGGGTTCTGATCCTGAAAGCCTTGAGAACATTGTAAGGAGATTTGGATTGCAGTCTAAGTGCAGTGAAAAGCCACAGGTGGATTTTAAACAAGGTTCAGAGTGATCTGACAGACCTTTTTGAGACGCTCCTACTACCACGTGGAGAATGGATGACAGGCAGAAAAGTCAGTATGGACACAAGTTAGGAGGAGGTCATGAGATTTTGACACAGAGATAGGGAAGAGATTCAAACAAATTTGGGAGGTGTAATGAATAGCACTTCATGTGATAAAGTGTTCCCCATCCTAACAGAGGTGGTGGGTCGTGGAAAGCTGACTCACCACAGTTCACTTAGCATGTGGGCTCCTTTCAGATATGTGTTAATACAGAAAATAATGTTTGGTATTAACAGATAGTCACCGAGCGAGTTGAAAATTATTTAATAGAGTATGTTATTTACCCTAGCACAATACAGTCATTGATGGTTGAGAGAAAGATCTTTTTCTGACATGTTGATTTCATAGATGAAAACACTGAATTCAGAGAGAGTAAGTGATTAATTGGTTAACTGTTAGTTGCAGACTTAAAAGTAAAACACATGTGATTTTCCTTGACCTAATACATGCGTAACCAGTTTCTACTTAAAGGAGATACATTTAACCCGTAAGTTGACTTCCCACCAATTCTAGGGCACTGGAGTACTTTGTTACAGATTGAGTTCTTTCTTATTTCTTGCTTCTTTAATTTGGAATGTTTTCTTTGAGGGCAAAAACCATTTCCATTTCACAACACATTGTAAAATGATGTTTTTTTCCTGAGAATTTCCCTTTTCTCCTTACATATGGAAACAGAAAAAACAGAGAAAAGGACAAGTCAATAAGCTTACTTCCCTTTCTCTGTCCTCATGTTTGCCTACATGAATTCTTGCTCTTATAATCAAGAGCAAAAGCAAGAATACATTAATATAAGCCCCGATATGAAGCAGGGCTTTAGAAAGGGTCTGGGAACTGTTGAATACTTTGGACTACATGGAACATGCAGGAAACAGGAGGAGGCTTCATCTAGGCAAATATCTTCTTTAACCACAGCCAATTAGATTGTCCCTAAAGAATCTCTAAAGTATTTTCTTTTTTTTGAGACAGATTCTTGCTCTGTCACCCAGGCTAGAGTGCTGTGACATCAGCCTAGCTTACAGCAACCTCAAACTCCCGGGCCCAAGCCATTCTTCTGCCTCAGCCTCTTGAGTAGCTGGGACTACAAGTGAGCACCACCACACCTGGCTAATCTTTTCTATTTTTAGTAGAGATGGGGATCTCACTCTTGCTCAGACTGGTGTCGAACTGACCTCAAGCAATTCTCCTGCCTCAGCCTCCAGAGTGCTAGGATTACAGGTGTGAACCACCATGCCCAGCTTCTCTAAAGTATTCTTAAAGGAGCTAGACAAGAGTCCTAGAAGGTTCAGTTAATCTTACCATGGCCTTTCTGTCCAGTAAAAAATATCAAGTTATTTTGCAGTGCTGAATCGTTGTTTGCCAGCTGAAACTTCAAGTGGAATTCATAATCAAAGCTGATGCCTGGGATCCGTGAATAAGCCAAGAATGAAGTGTATCCAAAGGCATCTGTACCACTGAACCTGGGCTGAGTGATATTAATAGCTGTGGAAAAATCCAAAACAAACAGTTAAAATAAACCCGTACGTGTACTCATGAAAGGAGAGTTGTGTTTTGCTGATGTATCTGGCCAGGTAGTCTGTTTACCGTCACATTAATTACACTTTAGTGCCTTTCAGCATTGAGCAACTAAGTGACTCAATAGGGAATTTCAAAACCAGAACAAAGGAATTGCAGTATATTGAGATTCTATATTTAACTCTCTTGCTCGCATTTCCTTTCTATATAATGAAGGATTTGCTTTAAAAGCAAAGCCCTATATTTTTAAGTTTAATTCGAGAAACAGAAAAGATCATTGGCAAAGTATTTGCTCAGGTGCCTTGTAAACATGATTTGGCACCCAGACACTGAATACAACTTAGATAAGAACTTCACAGCATGGAAAAAACTGTGCTTTCAAATCCTGTACCTTTATATGAGCCAAAGCCACAGGTCAGGGTTAAGAAAGTCAAGAAATGGGAAGGAAATCGGTCAGTTTCCATCGTCATATTGTGAGGGATCAGAATTTTTCTTTAAAGTAAAAATAATTGCCTAAAAGAACTGTCCATACTTAAGTTTGGGGGATGCTTGTTAGATAATAAAAGCACAGGTTTTAATAGGTCTGAAAGTGGGGAGATTGAGTAAAAACAGAAAATGGCAAAACAGAAGTGTAAGGGCCAGTGTGGACAAGAGAGAATTTATATAAGGGGTGCTATTAGCCATCTATTCTCTCCTTTCATCCTGCCTCTAATCTTCTTGTTTCCAACTCTTCTCTTTCATTGCTTTGTGTCCTCTGTAAGTAGTTCCAACTAGTTTTTATTTTTCTACCTCGAGAGGACAATAGGAAACAGAAGGGGGGATTTTGACCCCCATTCCTGTCTCTTATGAACAATGTCCCTAGATTAAAGGATGTTCCTAAAACCTATTTTAATTAGTTTGGGACAGCTTAATAGAGGGAAGAAGAGCTTGCCTTGATTGCCTTATGTTGCTTCTTTCTTCTCAAGAGATGATGGATCTCCTAGGAAGTTGTAAAACTAGAATATCCTCATTCTGGTACCTAATGCTTAAAATAAAAGAGCTTGTTATGTCTTGTTATAATTATTGATGTAGAAAATAACTGTGCTGTCCTGGGAAAAGTGATTCAGAGGCTTTTATTTCTATTTTTTTATATGATTATTAAACTATGGTATTTTTGTGAAATAAGCTGAATGTTTTGTTTTGATATTTTATTAAATTCTTATCAGTTTATTCCCTAGGATGTGTGGCATACGTACGTATAATTTTCTCAAAACTCACCAGAAATTGAAGTAGGGATTTGAGACACATTGCCCCTTATATGACACAATCAAGGCCTGGGGGCGTGGGATCCAGTCTGCAAGCCTGTCTGTCCCCTGCTCCCCCAAGTTCAATCCTGGACCACCAACCTCTGCTATGGTGGGGAATAAGGAGTCACCTGGGAGCTCCAGGACCCCACCCACAACCTAGAGCATCTGAGTGCTTCTCTTGATCAACTAGAGCTTGTCATAGATCCCAAAAAACACCACTGCAGCTGGCCCCACTACTGGCAGGGAGGACAACTTGTACAGCCCTTTACAGCATCTACTGATTTAATCATACAGGACGTGGCTGGCTCTTACCCACAAGCACCAACTATGGTCCCACAGATTAAACTGGACATCCCAATATAATTCACACTGTCAAGAAGACCACAGGGCTGGAGAAAGAGAAAGGATTTCAAAGACCTCTATCTTCCTTTGTCAACAAGTGAGAGGGAATCTGCCCACACACAGTACACCACTGCTACAGTGGATAAATAACTTACAATTGTGAAAAACACCACACAAAGGATATCTATAACCAAGGTATCCATTCCAAACCTAGACCCCCTTAAAGTACCCACGAGCAAAGCCAAAGGGCCTTACCCAACATATGCTATAGACACACCCTTAAGAATGAGGGAGGAAAAAGAGCTCCACCCAAACAAAACAAAATCCAAAAACAACAAGTGACAGTTGCTCCAGATGAGAAGGAATCAATGCAAGAACTCTGGAAATATGAAAAATCAGAGTGAAAGGACACCTCAAAGGAGCACACCATCTTTCTAGTAATGGATTCCAACCAAAATGAAAATACTGAAATGACAGATAAAGAATTCCAAATATGGATTATAAGAAAACTTAATGAAATCCAAGAGTAAATGGGAAACCAACCCAAAAAAACCAGAAAAACAATTCAGGAAATAAATGAAAAATTTACTAAAGTGATAGATATATTTTAAAAAACCCAAATATAACTTCTGGAAATAAAAAATTTATTTAGGGAAATAGAATACACAAAGTTTTAAGAATAGACTAGACCAAACAGAAGAAAGAATTTCACAGCTTGAAGACAACTCTTTTGAATTGACCCAATCAAAAATAAACAACAAAGAATCAAGAGGAATGAACACAGTCACAAGAAACATGGGATTATGTAAAATGGCCCAATGTAAGAATCATAAACATCCCTGAGGGTGAAGAAGAAAAAACACAAGGCCTGGAAACCCTATTTGTGGGAATAATCATGGAAAACTTTTCTGGTCTTGCTAAGGATGTAGACGTCAAGATATAAGAAGCTCAACAAATGCCTAGGAGATTCATTGCAAAAAGGGAATCACCAAGTCATATGGTCATCAGTCAACATGAAGGAGGAACTACTATGAACTATGAGGTGAAAACATCAAGTAACTTACAAAACAAACAAACAAAAACAAAAACAAACAAAAAAATCCCCATCAGACTAACAGCAGACTTCTCGAGAGAAACATTACAACCCAGAAAGGAGTGGGGTCCTATCTTTAGTCTCCTAGAACAGAATAACTGTCAGCCAACAATTTTGTATTCTGCAGAACTAAGTTTCATAAACGAAGGAGAAATAGTGTCTTTCCCAGACAAGAAACTATGAAGGGAATTTGTCACTACCACACTTGCCCTATAAGAAATACTCAAAAGTGCATTATATATGAACAGCACAATAGATATCTACCAGTGTAAAAATACCCAAAAGTTATAGTTCACAGTTCTTATAAAACAATAGCAGAAAAGGGAAAACAAAACATAAGGTATCATCCAACATGATGAACAGAACAACATCCCACATATCAATACTAATACTCAATGTGAATGGTCTCAATGCCACTTTTAAAAGACATAGGTGGGCTGAATGGATGAAAAAATACAACCTAAGTATTTTCTGTCTTCAAGAAATACATCTAAACCAAAAGGAATCACACAGACTCAAAGTAATGGGATATAAAAAAGTATTCCATGCAAATGGAAAGCAAACGAGAGCAGATGTCACCATCATCCTCAGATAAAATAGACTTTAAATCAACAGTGGTAAAAAAAAGAAAGACAAAGATGGTCATTATATAATGGTAAAGGGAGCAATTCATCAAGAAGAATAACAATCCTAAATATATATGCACCTAACACTGGAACTCCCAGTTTCATAAAGCAAATTCTTCTTAGATTCTTCTGGATCTAAGCAAAGAAATTAATAGTAGCATCTTAATAGTCAGGGACTTCAACACTCCACTGACAGAATGGAACAGATCATCAAAGTAGAAAATGAATAAAGAAATACTGGACTTAAACAAGACTGTAGAATAAATGGATCTAACAGACACAGAACATTCTACCCCCAAACAACTGAATATACGTTTTTCTTATCAGCTCCTGGGACATTTTCCAAGACTGATCATATGTTAGGCCACAAAACAAGTCTCAGGAAATTCAAAAAAATTGAAATTATACCATGTATCTTCTCAGACCACAGTGGAATAAAACTAGAAATGAATTCCAAGAGAAACAGTCAAATCCATAAAAAGTCATGTCCTCATCCACATTGTCTTTATCACACTGGCTTAGGCAGGAGAACATGGAGGGACCAAAATTAGGAGAAGGAAGGCGTTCAACCTTACAAATCATTCTTTTCAAGTCTTTAATGTAAGCACTTCACCATCTTTAACCAGATTACATTTGGTTAATTTGGTTACTCTGTCGCACAAATCCCCAGATCAGACTTCTTGGACCATCAGTTATCATCAAATCAGGAGATGGAATAGATTATGATGGGAATATTTTGGGGCTATTAAATGTATTTTTTTTTTGTAATCTCTAGTTGCCTCGTGGCTTTTATAAAGCACAAACTCATGCATTTTTTCAGTTTCCTTTTAAAGTTACAGCAATGAATTGAGAACATGAGGAAGGGAAGGAGATGCTAAAATTTAAACTAAAAATTTAGTATGTGGAAGAAGAACAAAATCAATAACAATGGTCTGGGAACATTTCAGGCATAGTCAAAAATTATCTTGACATCATCTATGTCCATTAAAACTTCTAAGAAACTTGAGTAAAGGGAGAATGTCTTAATATTTTCTATAACATTGTGTTGCATTGCAGGCTTAATGTATGATCTTTTTAGAACATGTTATATTATGCTTACAAAAAACATATTTAGCAATGATTGCCACAAAAAGAGTATAACCTTCTGTTTTCTAGATATTTACCAAGGCAAATTTTTCTCATTCCCAATAAGGGCAGAAAAATGAGCATGATTATTTTAAATATAACAGTATTTTTTCCTTTTAAAAAATTCTGCAGTCCTTCCCTTGATCTGAATTACTAAAGTTTTATGTGCAGAAGTGACCAAGATGACCTATGGGATGTGGGAAGAAGACGTACAAATAGCTTAGATTTCAGAACATCTTCCCCTCAACTCTGCAATGAGTGATGCCTTTGAAAGCCCGCTGGCTGGGTGTAAGACACGAGCTATTACAAGTCACAGTGATGGAGAGGAGGCAGGTGGAGCCAGCCAACATTTTGTGAAGCATGAGAAAAGTCCATTGTCGAAGGAAACACACATCTGAGCTAATCACAAGTCTCAAGCTGGCAAACCTCTTACACCAGCACCGCAATCCTACTGCATTTTCCCAGTCAAGCCACTTTCCCAGTCTCAAAGATTAC